TGAAAGGAGCAGAATGAACGGGGCAGGGAGCAGAGTGTAGACTCTGTGTCCATGTCGTGTTGCACTCCATGGCAGGAGATGGACACTTGATGGTACTATGAGCTGATAAGCCACATAGCAGCTGTCCAACAAGAAAGATGGCAGTTACTGTGCCAAGCAACTGTGGTGAAATAATTCTCCTGAAATGAACCTTCTAATGATAATGACATTATAATACCAAAACACACCTCCATCCCAAGGTTACCCACCTCCAAGGCACAACCTCTCCTCCTTGAGCATGTGCTCTCGATGTTATTGACTGTATCTTTAAGAGCAAAAAAAGAGAAATTTACACCAATCGGTATGTGACTAGAGTCACTCAAGCTCTACATAGCTACAAAGAAATAGTACAAAAATAGATTGATGAAGAGATAAAGTTAGGGAAGACTCAATTGTAACTTTTGTGATCAGTTGATCAGCTGAACCTCTCTTCTCCCCCATAGGGACGCCTATTGGGTAAGAACCTCTTTATATGCGGATTTAATAATCAATTTACGATAGCAGTTACTAACAACTAAAGCTTGATTATATATTATTTTTGCAGTCTGTCTGCTATCAGCGGCAGTCTCTGGACCTTGCGCTGTCATGATCTGTATTTTGTACAATAAAATTTGCTTTGCATAAGTTTCCATAATCTTGAATAATTGTAATAAGGGATTTTACTCAGTGATCCTGTCACTGTGCGTTCCTGAATAGGTTATTTGAATCGTCCTCCGATACAGTGGGCTGTTTAGTGGGGTCCTCATACAGGGTGCTGGCAGGCTGCATGGGCACAATGGCCTCGATTTTCTTGGGAAACTGACAGGCTGATCAAATATAAAGGGTTTGAGGAAACCCCCCTTCTTAATGTGACACGAGTCAAAGATTAATTTCTGTGATGCACTAGTTGGGTAATTTCATTCTCTCCTCTGCTTCTGAACATTTTCTGCAGATTTATGTTTAGCTGATGTCGTGACATATTCAATGGGTGTAAAAGATCAATGTATGCTATATGATTGAATTTCTGAGTAGTTTACAATATTATTTGTTCCAGTACTAGGTCATAGGATGACCTTATATATAAACCAGAACTTCCCACTGAAATTTCCACTACTAGTAAAGCCCTAGTCTCTACATCATCCTGGCAGGAGGTGGGCTGTCCAAATCCAGTCTAAGATGCCATAACACCTGCAGAAGCTTTGCCATGAAACTCCAGTTACTTTTCCTATCAATGTCCATGAGCAAAGTGGATCATGGTGCAGACGGCTCATACAAACTGTCTCACTTCAGAGATACCAGCTTGAGCCTCAGCTTCTCTGCTCGGGAGCTGTTCGTCAGCCTACTGAGTCTCAAGGCTCACCCAGGACAAACCTCTTTGGAGGCTGCACAGAAACCTGGGCTGGGGTTCAGAAGCAGAGCCAGATACCTTCAGGCAGGTGTGTCTATGTGCGCTGAGTGTCTAAGCTCTGACTGCAGCCAGCAGAGATCCAGGCATGGCTCAGCTGCATAAACAGAGGCACCCTGGGCCACTGGAGATGCCCTGAGGTATGCAAGACATCCAGTGGGGTTGGCTGATCTGCCACAGGATCTTGGGGATGCCCATACCCACCTGGACCAGCAGCCAGAGGCCAGGCAAGTTCCCCAAGGGCATCTCCAGTGGCTCTGGACCCCTGAGTGCAGGTAACTGGGTCCCACTGCAGACCACTGGGCAGTTCCCAGTAGCATCATGGACTTCTGCTCTTGTCATCTCCAGCTGCCACGGGTGAGACCAGCAGCAGCACTCGCTTGTGCCAGCTGTGTTGCTCAGTGAGGTAGGAGAATCTTTTGCTTTTTAGGAGGACAAGGTAGGAATATGACTGACACCCCCCTTCGTTGGATAGCCCCCCACAGTCCCAGGTCCCCTACCCAGATGGATTTTTGCTCCTGGATTCAAATGCTGACACAAACGACCGATGGGGTGAAACCATCAGCGCTATTTCAGGTTGAGGGAGCTCTGCAGACACCTCTGGGGTTGCTCATGGGGCTTCCTCTGACTCACACCCTCTGGGGCTTGAAACCACACTTATCCTCCCTGCTGCCTGTCCCATGCCCTGCCACCCCAGCTTCCCAGGCTCTGCTGGAATCCCCCACTCCCCAACCAACACCATGAGTCACCTCTCCACCAGCTCCCTGGGCTCTCCCCAGGACCTTTAGCCCTGGCAGTACCCAGAAATGCCCTCCTCTCCACAGCAAGCATGTGAAATACATAGGAAAAAAAAAAATCAGCTTGGAGGCTGCCTTCCAGCAGATATCAGGGGTGCCTCACACAGCACCCCATCTTGGAACTGAGCAGAGGGCTGCCCCAGCCCTGTGGTCCCCAGCTCCAGGAGCATCCTCCCAGGCAGCTTTTGTCTGTGATTTATTCTGTTTTCTGCTGCCCGTGGCTATGAATGGGGCACAGGGATATAGTCCTTTGGTGAGCCCGGAGCTGCTCCGTGCATCCTGTGTGTGCTGTCAGTGGGGTGGGAAGCTCCTCTGTCTGCTGGGAAGATACAGCTGCACTGAGATGGGAAGGTAGTTTTGCAGTTTGCTCTGTGTTCGTCTGTCTTTGGGGAGAGCTCTGGGCACTAGTAGGTCACTGGGATTTTAGACACAAAGGAAAAATGATTTTGCCCAGGATCGGTGAGGGGATGTTGGGAGCTAGTCCCATTAGCCTATTGCTCACGGTGTCACTCGCTTGAGTTGTTTGGATGGGCGTGCAGCTCGCAGAGGGCCCTGCCACTGTCTAAGCTCACTTCATTGCAAAGGGCTGGATCACGGAGGTTGCTCAGTCCTTTTCCAAAAACACCGATGGTGGTTCACGCTCTTTAAACTGAACAACGTGTTGTCACATCCTGTCCCAAAAAAGAAGGAAACAGGAAAATCAAGAGAGTGGCATCATCTGGCCTCTGCTTGAGAAAGCAGCTGGGCAAAATTCCTTTGATGCATCCAGATTTTGAGCAGCTGTAACATGTTGCAAGAGTAAATACAATATACTTATTCCTGGGAAATGAGGCTCAAAGCCATAGAGGGTGTTTCCGGAGTCTCACAGGAAGTCCCACCAGGAATTTCCTGTCTTCAGTTAAATGTGGATCTATAAAAAGGAAAAAAAAAAAATCATTCCACTAACCTGACTGCTTTATCTTTCTGGGAGGTATTAGAAGAGAGGAATGTTCAGTTTATTGAAAAACAAACATCATCTCTGTTGTCACATGTTATGCATTGTTGTTGCAAGGTTCACCAAATAATGTCGAAAGCCTGGAGACTTGAAAAACTGTTCTCCCTCTTGAGTCTTCATCCAAATATGTGAAACATTATTGTTGGCCAATTAATCAGAGGAACAATGAGTCATTCTGTCTAATCTTCAGTGTCCTTTCTTGAATCAAAGGGCTAAAATCATGGCCAACAATTCCTAGAGCAAAATCTAGTGCAGGATAAACAGAAGAGCCCTGAATATATGAACAAAATGTTTGATACAGCACAAAAGTCTATTGAGAGGTTATAAAAGGGGGACAGCATCGTCAAGACAACTGGGTCATTGAACGTATTTGTGTAGAGGTAGCAAATGAGTAGATGGGGAAGAAGAAAAACTTCTGCCAGATCAGCCATAAACTCGTCTAGGAGGAAACCTTCTTTTTTGAAAATGCAGATCTCAGCTCTGATGCAGGGGAATTAATAACATTTTAAACTGGGGAAGAGAGGGAAGAGGGAAAACACGTGCTGAGTTAACACTGAGAGGCTTTATGCTCTGTCTGTACGACTTTATTAAGTCCCAGGATATTTGCTGGGATGCTTTTTTTTCCCCCACATATCGTAATGATGTCAGTGAGATGATTAATATTTTCAGATCTAAGATGCCAGGTCTCCTGCTATGAACCAATGTTTGCTTTCCAAGTATCACATTGGCTTCCGTAAAGTACTCGTAATGCAAATTTGCACTCTGTTTCTGACAAATAGCACAACCGCATCTCTTTCAGCAGTGATGTTACCTGAATCTAGTCTCTTTTTGAGTAACCTGCTGACATCTTCTTAGTTCAGTAAATGAAGACTTGTTTTAACAAATTGCTACAAGCATAAATGGTAAAGAGTAAATTACTCTTGAAGCTTTGAGATCTTACTCTGAAAGTTCAGAGCACTGCACAGAGACTGAAACTGTTTCACAAAGTCACCTCAGTGCCACCATTTCCAACCCATAAAATAAAGATAGAATTATTGTCATTTTACTGTGCACTGTGAGTTAAGGCTAAGAAGAAGAGCATAGAAACCTTCAGTTTTGTTATTTTCATCCTACTCTGCCCTAAATCAGAACTTTACCAAGGACTGGGGGAGTTTCAGCAGCACAAAAACACTAAAAATTGATGGAGAGAGAAACCTTTGGTTTTGAGCAGAGCGAGCTGGAAAACAGGGCTACTCGTGCACAGGAAATTTTGTCATTTCAAAATGTGGTTTCAGTCTGAATCAGAACAAAACCCCAAGAGTTTCCAAATTCCCCTTGAAATGGAAATTCTGAGAATTTCAGTCTGGAAACGCTGAAGCAGGGTGTTTCTGATACCCACCTCCTGCCCCAGACCTGCGGAGCAAAATGAACTTTCTCATCGCCTTGCAGCAGCGCCACCACCAGCTCCCCTGAGGAGGTGGGAGATTTCCTGGGGACACCCACGGTGACATCTCCCCGGGAGCCTCTCTGAGCATCACCGGGCTCTGAGCATCGCTCTGGGAGCCCTCAGCACTGATGGGCTTCTTGGGTGTTGCACAGCTGGTTCCTGGTAGCCAGCCTGTGCGTGCAGCTGGTACATCAGGGGTTGAAGAGGAAGACAGGGGAAAGGAGGAGACTGTTGGTAGAAAACCCAATTTAATTTCTTGCAAAAAGCCCAAACTATTTAATGCAGCAGCATTGCCAGAGCCCAAGCCCTGGAGAAGCACCACTCTGCTCTGCAGCTTTAAAAAATGAAATCTAGTTAGGGAATATCTTCCCTGAATTTCTTCTGCAGAAAGACTGGAGGAGAAAATAATTAGAGAATTAGAGACCTGGAAATGACGGGTGAAGCTGGTGCTTGCTGGTGTCCTGGTGTCTTTGTTCACATGCCTTTATACTCCCCAGGTGAGCCCATATTTGCCCTGACATGCTGTTATTCCTACAGAAAAAGTAAAAATGAATCTAGAAAATGTGTAGGTAGCTGCAGTGTTAAGGTTGTTACTGAGAGGCAGATCTGTACTGTTTCACTCTCGCAGCTTTGCCTTGTATCTACTGTCTAAATTGTCTAAGACATGAGACATTTTTGACCTGTGTGTAAGCTCCCAACCTATTACTGTTTTTTATTTGTCATTGCAACCAAAAAGCATGCTTAAATTTAAATTTAAGAATTTATTTAGTGTTAGGGTGGCAGGAAATGTTTTTATCATGTTTCTTCAGTGATGCATTTACAGAGGTGAGTGGCAGATTCTGCCAGATGACTTCTGGGTCTGGGATCCAGATTGGGACATCTTGTGGGAGGTATTTACACATCAGGGTAATTCTGCAGGCTGGGTACAAATCGTGGTGCTTGGGTTCTGGCTATCACTGCAGAGGAGGACAGGCCTCCCATGGGTCCTGTGTCATAGCTTCCAGCCCTATGTAGATGTCTCTGACACCCCTGGGTGTCTCAGATCATGGCAGATCTTCAGGCAACCAGATCAGTCTGTAGGTGTTTCCATGTGAGCTTCTATCTGATCTCCCAGTAGAGTCAATGGAGATCCAGTTGATGCTGTCCATGGGGTCTGGACAACTGCTCAACTTGGGTGGACCCCTGCACTGGAGAGCTGGGTCTCCCCAGACTCTGCTTATGGCCACAGCAATGGGACCAGCTTACATGGAGACACCTATATGAAGACACATTTCAATGTGCAGGCTGACTCGTATGCCACAGACTTCTGGAAAAACATGTTTTCTCACAATTAAGTACCTGGCCATGGTATAGGGGTATGTGTATTTCCACTCCTTGGGGAGGGTTAGGGTTAAGGGAGCTCCACTTCCCTTAGACTGTACAAATCTATTAATTGCTTCCCTTATTTATTTTGGAGACATTGTTGCCAGAGATCCTTTTGCCCAAATATTTTTAGTCTTCTCCTGCATTTCAAAGGTTAGGTGTGATAGTACACATGTGATGTGTAGATGTCTAGAATAAACCTTCCTGTGACAGGTTGCTGAGTTTGTCACACTTTTGTTAAAATGAGAGAGTAACAGACAATAAATACTGTATTTTTCAAAGTCGAGATTGATAGCAAGTACAAGCTGCCTTTAGAACATCCAGAACAATTTATTGTTATAGTTTATTAGTTGTTTCATGCTGAGAAAATCAAAGTCTACAAAACAGAAACATCAACCACCACATCTCATGTGAAAAAAGCGAGAGCAGCCATGGAGAAAGAACAACAGTGACAGTGTCCCTTTGGCCACAGCCTCTTCCAGTGGTGGTGTTTGGCTCCCAGGACGGGTCCTACTCATTTCCATGTGCTCTCTGCATGTTGTGTTGAAGGATCAAGCCTCAGATACAAATATTTCCCCAGAGGGCCAACAAGCCCGACCGAGAGGTAAAGTACAGCTCAACTGAGAGTTATAGCTTCCCAATAAAGTACATATACTGCTCCCGTGCTGGGTTCAGACTCTCTATGTAGGCATTAATAGCTAGGAAAATTAAATCCCATAATAGCTGTCCAGTCTGAAACCCACTATTGCTTACAGGTCCCTTACCAGCAGTGTGTCTCCCTTAATTTCCAAGAAACAAAGATAAAATGTGGAGAAAGAACCCCTAAGCCAAGCTGGCTAGGGAAAGGAGGAAAAACCACTGGAGCAGTGGGAAATGTATGATTCTGCTCTTGTTATCTGCATAAAAATGCGCATGTTAGAAGCAGACGAAATATTAACCTTCTCCAGTGAAATGCCCTGAGCAGGACGAGCCATGCCAGCCTTTCTGCAGTGCTTAACAGAGGTATGTTAGCAATAAAAATGTGCACCAAATGAAGCAGAAGAGCGTAGTACCACTGCTTGCTGCCTTCAGAGTAGCTGACGTGTGAAAACCTATCATCTATTGCATAAATACAGATTGGTGTTTGCTCCCATACAAAATAACGGCATGTTACAGACCATTACACATCCATCTTTATAAAGATCCATACTACAAATAAGTCCTATTCCAACAGGAATAAAAGAGCCATGGAACATATAAATATCAAGGCTATGGAGTGAGAATAACTCAACAGCAATACAAACCAGTAAATCAATGACACACACACTCTATCACAAAACAGAAAACTACACTAAGATCTCATGCCCTCTGAATTATAAGGAAGGGATTCATCCCATTTTGCTTTTGACATGTAAGCGTCTATAGATTATCTGGGCAATCTGGACATCACTTAGAGTCAATGCAGAGAAACAGGTGCCTTTTCACCATGAGTCATTTGGCTTTATAAGAGTCAATGCAGAGAAACAGGTGCCTTTTGACCATGAGTCATTTGGCTTTTTTTATATATATATATGTGGCATAAATAAATAAAATATGCACATATACACACATTTATATAGGCAATAGGGTGAGAGGGACTTGTTCCTTCCCATTGTCAAACATAGATGCTTGCATTTTGTCACATGAACCCCATCCTACCAGGCTGAATGCGGCTAAAAAGTGGCGGAAGACTATTCAAACTTCACAAATTCCCAATAATATAAGTACATGTCAAGTATTGCATATGCTTGAGTCTGTCCTCAAATGGCTTTGTGCTAGGTTCTTTGGTGCTCTGCAGCTACGAAAGGAGCTGTTAAATTAATTAACTGCCACAATCTGCAGCATCCTCCTCTGAGCTGGAGGAATAATGTAGTAACTTGTGGAAGGGGCTAGTCCAAAATAATTGGGAAGAGGAGGGTGTTGATGAATGCATGTGTATGCTGAACCACGAGGGAGTCCAGTAAGAATTTGAGCTCATGTGCAGAGGGTAAATGGGTTTAATTTCTTTTTCCAAGAGCAGTGTGAGGAGGAGGAAAGTATGACTGCATCTGAACTGTCTGGGTAGGGAAGGGACAAGGGGGACATCAGGTGTCCAGCATCTCTCTTTGTGGGAAAGGTGGTGTGTGGGTTGCAATGATGGTCCATCTGTAAGCCTGGTCGCTTAGGAGAGGCTGCAGTTATATTAGCAATACATCTGCTATATAGTAGTAGGAGGAGAAGTGTTCCTGGAAAGCAGTTTCAGGCAGGGCTCTTTCCCCATCTGTCAATGATGGGGTGCACTTCTTACACCCGTACTCTGTAGGTGGAAAGTCATTCTGTCCCCATAAGAATTAAACCATAATATTTTCTGCCTCCTTCACACGTTGGATTTGAGTGTCCAGGCTTTCTCCTCATTTACCACCACTGGTCTTGGAGTTGCTGGTACAATGTGGTTTCTTCTGTGTTAAGGCATCGATTTCATGAGTTTAGATCTGAACATCGCAATTCCGTGAGAAGTCTTCCCTACAGCAGGAAAAAGACTTCACTACAGCTGGGAAGAGGCAGATTTTGTATAGCTTCTTCCATATTTACTATGAGAAACCACAGTACTTTTTGCAAAAGACACCACTCAGGATCTCAGTTACTATTTCATCTGGTATTTCATCACTTGTTCCACCACAGGGCCAGTGAAATGTAGATCACTCTTGATAATTCTTCCCCTATCATATTCTCAGAAATCCCACAATGGCCCAGGCAATCTGCACCACGGTTGACCATCTTCACTAAAACTAATTTTAAAGTGTTACCTATGCTTTCCATGGCCTCATCCTAACTGCTGGTGTGGTTTCACAAGGTCCTCCTCTCCTCCTTGTCGAGAAAAATCCCCATTGAGCAGAGAAGCAGAGCCCATCAGTAATTAGTAAGGAACATGAAGAGAATTGGGGATGAGGATTAGCTACAAGAGAAGAGAAAAGGAGAACTCCCAAATGTCAAATAGGGACATCTCGAATTAACTAGGCTGGGGAGCTTGTGAGCAGGAACAGCGTTTGTGCATGTCAGTGTAGTAATAGAAACAGCGAGGTGGTCAGACTAAAATAAGTCTGAACTACAAAGTTATCGTGACATGACTGAAAAATCAGGGGAACGAAGGAAGAAGAATTACGTGGTCACGGTGGCAGATGCTCCACCAGACTTCCCACAGGTTAGCCAGAGAGAAAAAAAACTGATTGCGCAATCTATCTGAAACCAACATATTTGCATAATCAACCTTAATTTCCCCAGGGGATTCATTTTCCACCTGTTATTTGAACCGCCATTCTCAGTTCCACAATGGCTGGGACAAAGCGTGCTTTCTGATTTCAAAAGCTCTGATTCCTCTTTTTCTTGCACTAGTATTTAATAGCTGAATCAGAAAACTCAAAATCCAGGGTCATTCATTTAAAACCAAAGAAGCTATTCAGAAGTCAAAGTAGTGCAATAGTGAGATGGCTGATCGGGTTGACAGCTCTTCCATTTTTTTAGATTTCACATTTTCCTGGTTCTTTCCCACTTACCGTATTCTCTGCTTGGTGAGTCACAAATTTCAGGAATGATAAGCAGAACAAAAAAGAGAGCTGTTAAAACAGAAAATCATCACAGTTAGCACCTGGTTTTATCTGTAATTATTGCAATTACTCCAGCTAGGAAAAACAGGCAAGGTCTGGTAGAGGGGCTCATCTTGCCCCTATGCCCAGGGGCAAGAGTTCTTCAATATTGCCCCATTGCTTTGCTCCTTGGGGCAAACAGGACCCAGTCAGAGAGGACCTGGACAGTTAGAGAGCAACCATGGCCACCGATGCTGAAGTCTCTGGCATAGTTCACAATACTCATCCTTCCCTTTATTTGTCTCACTCCATTATTCCTCCTTATTATAATGTGCGGTACAGTTTTCAGCAGACTCCAGTTGGAATCAAAAGCCCTTGTACAGTCTTGAGCATATGCACAGTAAAAGACAATTTCCATTTTAGCAGCTACTAGCTGAATGGAAGATGGGGAAGGGGGCGAAGAAAACCTCTTCAGACTCATCTAAATGCATCAGTTTAGCCGTGAGAAAATATCTTATTTGCCCATCCTTTTTTTTTTGCTCTTTTGAAAATGTGAAAAAAACACATCATTTAAATATTTACATTTTTTTCTGCTTTTTCCAGTTGAAGTAATTCACTGAATTCACAGAAGGCCTCAAAGAAAGAATCTAAAAACCTCTTCATTTAAAAACTAGACTTTTGGTTGATCTATTTTCTTTTACATCCCTTATGAGTCTTTGAAAAACTCTCTATAAAAAGCTTAAGTGCCAAAACAGTCTCTATTTACACTTTCTTTACGGACTTATCACCCAACACATGGACATAGATGTGTCTTGCAGTCTGTTTACTACCTCTTACAACAGAGATGGATCTCTTTGGTAGAACAGTCAATTGAAATGCAAAGTAACTGTTCTGTGGGATGGGGTGAAGTCTGAGTCTGATTAACAAAGTGGCATACCTGTCACTGGCAGTATCACAGACGAGGAAAAGGATTGATGAGTTGAACCTACAAAGAGAGAGAAATTCTTGATGTTTGTATGGATTTGCTCTTCTGGCAATGAGCATCAAAGCAGCGATGAGGATAGAGTCAGGCTAGGTCTGACAGCTCTCCCTCTGCACAGCAGAGTTAATTATTGCCAAGTTTGTTTCTTGGCCATCGATAGATGTCTCCAGCCTGGATATCAACATAGGTGTTGATCTGATATCTGTTCATGGTGGGCATGAAGTGAACTATCCTCCAGGCAATGGGATCCAGCTAAGGTTTTCATTTCATATAAGACTGGGAAGGATGACTTTCAATGTGCCAAGCTAGGGTTTGGAAACATGGCTTCAAAGGTGACCTCTTTTTCCCCAGAAATGTAACCCAAAACTTCCCTGGTGCAAGAAATACACTGATTTTCTCCCTTATCCTCAAATGGAAGCCCTGAACTTGAGCCAGTATGAGATACAGGCAGGTTTTTAACAAGAGGTCCTGTAAGAGTGATCTCTTGATAAATCTCTTTGTGCTGAATGCTGGGGCGAGAACTGAGAAAGGAGAGGATATTCCTTAGCCAGCCCCATTAAAGACATCACATCATAGCAAAGAGAAAGGCAACACTTTGGGGGAATAAATATTTGGTGCGCTAATTGCAAAGACCCAACCTAGCCCATGTTTGAACGTACTTTTGGAGGAAACCGAAATTATTGTTCTGTTGAATTAAAGGCCAAGATGGCCTGTTTCATCATCCAGTCATGTTATTCATAAACCTCATTTTAAAATTTCAAATATTTGTAATCTCTGACTATTCAATAGGTTGTATCATTTTCTAGGACTGGCATGTTGGTGGATTATTTCCATCATAGCAAGAAGATCCTTCATCCTGATAGTACCAAGTGAAATTATCAATGAAAAAAAAAAAAAAAATACTGTCCTGAAGGAGGAGGAGAGACCAAACAACAAATTGTGACTGCTGTACCTGGAACACTCTGCACCGGGCACCACAGGGAAACAGATGGTTCTATGAAGAAGGGGAGAAAGTCCTGGGTTAATGCTGAAATAGTGTGTCCAGTGAGTAAAGTGATTCATTTTCACAGTCAGAGCAGCAATGAGAAGCAACAATGGCAAAGTGTCACCCGAGAGGTCACTCTGCAGGCAAAAGGACTTGCCCAAACCAACCTGCCCAAACCATCCTGCTCTACCCCATGGCCTGGTATGGTTCACGAGGGCTGGCACTCATCTTGTCTATCGTTACATAGATGTGGCCTCTGAGACAGTCGTCTGGGCTGTGCTATAGTTACTGGGGAGAAACAAGCCTTTAAAGGGTGCAACTCATCTCACACTCCAATAGACTTCTGAAATCGGGCAGCTAACACAGCTCTGCCAACACCTTTTCCCCTCTGTTGGTTACAAAGGCAGTCCAACTCTGACCTGGGCATCTGTGCAGTAGACATCAACAGTTCTGCAAGATGAATTTCCCCTTAAAGGCCCACTTACTGGTGAAAACCAGTTTTTTCCACTTCTACTCTTCTGTTGTTAGAAGTCCTCTTGTGTTGACCTTGCATTGGCCCCTGCCTCTGTAAAATTCATCCCATGGCACTCCCCTACCTCAGAGGAGGTGGGGAAGATAATGAAAGTCTGAGGACTGTGAAGGTGGGTCCTTCCACCTGCAATAGCTCTGCCTGCCACGCAGAGAGGGACCAAGACCCTCAGTGCTATCACAGATGCTTGGGAAAGGGGCTCTGTTTTCTCTCTACGTGTTGAACTCATTCATTGTAGAGTTAGGAGAGATCATAGGATCATAGATCATAGAATAGTTTGAGTTGGAAGGGACCATGGAGGTCACCTAGTCCAAACCCTTTGCAGTGAGCAGGGACACCTTCCACTAGATCAGGTTGCCCAGAGCCCCATTCAACCTGACCTTGAATGGATCAGAAAAGGCAGGTAATTTCAGTGGGGTAGAGGCCATGAAGGTCTTTTCTTTGTGTGTGTGTTATCTAAGGGCATAAAAGCAAGAAGCAGAGGTTCTGCAGCCTCACTTGAGAGCCCTGCTGGCTCCCTGAACAGTCAAACACAAGCTGCCAGACTGCAGTGGTGTGTGCTCTGCTGAATATGGGTCCCTAAGGACTACAGTGCAGTACTGGTGGGCTTTTTGCTGTCTCTTTGTTCAAAACAGCATCCTAGCTGTTAAAGTAAGAATGGAGCCACAAATTTTTAGCTACGAACTAGAAAAACTCTGGATCCTGAAACCCTGAGAAATCATGAGGGATGCAATCATGAGGGATGACCTATAGCTGCCAGGAGGAAGGAAAAAAGAGAAAGTCTTATTCTACTATTTTCTTCCCAGTATAGGACACTCTTTATCAGGGAGTGTAGTGATAGGACAAGGGGTAATGGGTATAAGCTGAAAGAGGGTAGATTTAGACTAGACATTAGGAAGAAATTTTTCACTGTGAGGGTGGTGAGGCAGTGGCCCAGGGTGCCCAGAGAAGCTGTGGATGCCCCATCCCTGGAGGGGTTCAAGGCCAGGCTGGATGAGGCTTTGAGCAACCGGGGCTAGTGGGAGGTGTCCCTGCCCATGGCAGGGGGTTGGAACTTGATGATCTTTAAGGTCCCTTCCAACCCAAACCATTCTGTGATTCTATGATTCTATGACAGTGTGGCTCTATGTGCTCACAAATTCCTGCAATTTTGCAGTTAGTATGAAAGAACACCCAAGACAAAGTAGGATGCAGCTGTGTCCTCCCTAGAGATGTCATCTCCATCAGTCAGAGATGACATCTCCATCAGTGTCAGAGCCCTGAAGTCACTGATCTCTCCATCCCAAACCCCAAGCAGGTTATTCCCTAGGATTGATGTGCTGAGCTGGGGGGGTCTGCACCCTGCATGGACAGATCATGACACCGATGTGATGCCAAAGCACCCATCTTACCTGGGCCAATAGTCTGTGGCAGCCACTTGTCATTAGAGCTGCTGTCGTTGGTGCACTGCATGTCAAGGGGGGTCCAAATGATTTCTCCATCCACCTTCTTGCACCTGCGGGTGCCAGAGGTGGGGAGTCGCTTATCGTAACCGCTCTGGCATTGTAAATACAATACTTGTCCCACGTAATACTGATCAGGCAGGCTTAAGGAGGCATGTGGAATAGTCTTGGGAGGACCACAAAAATCTGTGGGATCACAAGGCAGCACACGGTTAAAGCAGACAGATTTTACCTGCTGCTTTCTTTCTTGAAACAACATGATTTGTATTCTTACAAAATATAGACAAGCAAGATACACCAAGTGCTCCTAACTCTTTGTTAGGATAATAAAATACTCATTCACTTACACCATATCGCTTGTTCAGCCAAGATATTACAGCAATTGTTTCTTTGTCTCAAAATAATTAAAAATTCCATCATTCTTACACTCCTCCCATGAAAATTGGTGGGAGAAGTGTTAGAGCAACAAATGGGCTCTTGCTTACCTTTCTGATTAAACTCTGAAAGGTTTTGTCGCTTCTGGGGTGCAGGGCTCTGTGTTTTTCTTTCTGGCGTCTGTGCAAAATCTAACTCCATCGTGGGAGCCGTTGACAACAAAATTTTCTCATCTGTGGGAGAAGGTATATTGGCTGAATTACAACAGGATGAATAGCAGGGCAAAGCCAGAGCATCCAAACTTTTAGAGGCAGGACAGAATTGTTGCAAATTCTAATTTGCAAAGATAAGAAGCACAAAGGATCATTTGTTAGAGCAATGCCCAGAGGCATGCTATACTGACTAATTCATTGGAAAAACACCTTTACAAGTGTAGAAAAGAACAATAATCACTTACCAATGCATTCGAACTCCTTGTAGACCCAAGAAGCAACCTGCTGTATACTCCGACACTGAATTCCCAAATACTGGCCGCTTCTCCTCCTGTAGCCACTGTCACATTCATAATAGAGCCTGGTCCCCAGTGGATACGCTTCAGCAGTAACATCAGCAAATTTGGTCCTTGGAAGCGGTGGGCATTCTTCTGCCAACAGAAAGCCTGAGAATCAGGACAGCCTGTGCGTCTACCTTATTCATCAAGGATTTCCCACATGTTTTTCTCTTATTAATACCAGATCATGCCCAGAGCTCAGTGAAATAAGCCTAATTCTGCTCCCAGCCACAGGGCTAAAATCACAGCTGAGGGATGAAAGTGGATGTCACAAAGAGAACATGAGGGTCACAAAGCTTTGTTTATTTGATTGTCTCTAAGCCAAGGAGAGGCTCTGAACATTTGGCAAAACTATTAGTTATTTTAAGTGAACCTTTTTTATTTTAGTTTTAGAACAATCCAGCCTTCCAAAGACTTCTTCACATCGGAGTTAATTGTTGCCTATCTTTATAAGTACAGATTTGTTCAGGATGCAGGAAAATACCTTGGGAGAGTCTCCACCAAGTGATGTGAAGCCTGTATTTGTCTACACAATTTTATTTAGGAGGGGCTGATTCGACTCCCTTGTATTTCTTCTCGAGGAGAAAGGATGCTGGAGCAAGGATGCTCTGCAGCAGCTGGGAGCGGTGATGGGAGGCACCAGGTCTATCTGCCTGCTCCTGCCTGCGCTGCCTGAAGCCGGCAGTTGAGCCCTTTCTTTCTGCACCTAGCAGATGGGCAACGTGAAATGCTACCGGCATTTTCTTAATGAAGCTGTACACGATCATATCATAGAGCTGCTGCCTGCACCAGTCAGGCGTCATAAGCAAAACTAAGTCATTAAAAGTTGCAATCATCTATAAACAAACATTGCAAAGGGGAGTAGACTCTCAGTTCTGTCTGAGCACACCAAAGAACAACTTAGTGCGTAATCAGTTGGCAAACCTAAATATAACTTCTCCCAAAACAAGGACGTGAACTGTTGTGTCATCAGCAAATCACGTCTAAACACACTTCTCAATCACTCAGAATTAGTTTAGATAATTTCAGTGCACTTGAAAAGCCCGCTGAAGCTGACCTGGAGACCCAGAAGTTGATAAAGGCACTACTTAATGATTATTTAAGGTCTAAAGGCTGAAAATTTCAAAGAGAAAACAGGGTGGTTGCATCAGGGCTCGCACTCAGGATCTTTGGGTGCAGGATCTGTGTCCCTTCATGCTTATGCATAATAGTGACAGCTGTTACAAGTAACATTTCTTAGCCACCATGTCTTCACATTTTCTGCATCCCTAATTAATGCAGCCTGAGCAACAAGCAAGAATGAATGCAAAAGGGCCTTGAATTCCTGATAGTTGTTCATTACTTGGCATCTGCCCTTGACTCCCAAAGTGCCTTCTCCTTGAAACAAAGCCATTCCTCGCTGAAAGCAACCCAGCTGGCATCTCCCAGCCCCAGTCCTTCAAAACCCTTTTCTTTCAGGGCACTCATTGTTTTCTTGCTTTCATATTTTCTGCCCTTTTTACTTTTCATTATCTTGCCACTTAATAAAAGTCACAAAGTTTGAGGAAGGCAACAATGAAAAGCATTGTGAATGGCTTAACAGCTGAGCTGCGTAAAGGATATTTTAATCCCCTTGTATCTTTGTGCTGTCAAAGGATTCAGCTTGTAAACTACATCAGACTGTGGCTTCGAGAGAAGTGACTGTACCCGAAATAGTTAACCACATGTTTTACCACAGACCGTCAGGGTGATCAAAATTAAAGAGTTATCAGATTAGCAGCAAGTTGAGATCACATACTCTCACTTTCCCTGAAAGCTAAAAGCATGTTTCCCTCAAGACTTCAAAAGCCTCTTTGAAGCAGGCTGCAGATCGGAGTCTCAGCACAAGGCACTCAAACCTACAACTCTTTAGTCTCTTCTTAAGAAAACCCACAGCATTCAGCCTACTCATCATAAAGGGCAACTGTTGTTTTAATCAATGAACAATGAAGTTCTTCTGAATCGCATATGGCAGATAAGGACTGTCCAGAAATGGGGGACACAGGTGACAGCGAGCAACACCCATCAGTCTGGTGCTCTTGGATCAACTTATCCAGGTTGCAGCTGGATCCCATGCAACACTCCTAGGATCCAGCCTTTTCATTTCATCCACATCACTCAAATTATTTTCTTCTCACATCTAAGTCAATGCAGTATCTACTTCTTTGGCCTTTACAACCACATTCTTGTCTCTGATCCAGAAAGCATTTGGAAAGATGAATTTCCCAGGTCTCATTGTGACCTTGCATTTGCTTCCCTCTGTTGACTTCTAACTGCTTCACTGACATGTCAAATATTTTTCTCCCATTTTCAAGAACTTTCCCCTTGTCAGCCATCATATCCTTTCTAAACATTGGTTTTTCTCCCCATGCTAGACCTCCTCAACAACACGCTTGATATCAAAGTCATCAGCTTTTGGGTTTATTTTCATACCAGCCCTCACAGTAAGAGGATCCTTGCATTAATATGGACATTTCCAGTTGTCATTATTCCTCTTCACTGTCTTTATCTTATATAGCTTCAGAAGTGTTTTTCTTTAAGTGATCTTTTACCACTCTTTCAAGAACAGGTAAGTACCCAACATGCCAATCCTACTACTGTATTTTCTTGCCTTATATTTGAATCCTAAACTTCCTCTATTGGTCACCTATTCATACCATGCCTAACACAAATAGTCCTAGCTATCAGCCAGGACTCCAGGCAATGTGCTAGCAGATGTGATAGCAACTCATGATAATGACTACACATTCAGTCAACCTGAAAGTGGAAAGTCTATCTGAAACTTGAAGCTATAGTTTGTCCATTAAACCCAGAAGAGCTCCCAGTGCTTTGAAATTTATCAGCATCACAGATTCAAGCTAACTGCTGTATTCAAACTCCCATCCGGGAAGAATAAGTATCCTCCAAAGCTGCAGAGGCCATAGGTGGTGGTACACAGGTGTGCAGGGGTGTTTCATGGCACTGGACCTCTCAAGATAGTGTAGGAAGACTGTGCAGAGAGGATGCAGACCTGGTGAGGTCTGGATTGTATTGCCTACACAGAATGACCTCTGGAGTGAAACATCCCTAGAACTTCATTCAGTCTTTGCACCTGAGGAAATTACATGGTTTGCCCCTAAAAAATCAACATCCCTGCCATGTGGGTGATAAAAGACATGGCACTGGACCTCTCAAGATAGTGTAGGAAGACTGTGCAGAGAGGATGCAGACCTGGTGAGGTCTGGATTGTATTGCCTACACAGAATGACCTCTGGAGTGAAACATCCCTAGAACTTCATTCAGTCTTTGCACCTGAGGAAATTACATGGTTTGCCCCTAAAAAATCAACATCCCTGCCATGTGGGTGATAAAAGACCCAAGGGATTTCAGTCTTTGCACCTGAGGAAATTACATGATTTGCCCCTAAAAAATCAACATCCCTGCCGTGTGGGTGATAAAAGAGCCAAGGGATGGGAAGAAGCCAGGAAACCAGGGAATGGCAGTGTAGATTTACTCCTTGACTAGATTTCCAACTTTTTACATTTTTTAGGAGAGATTAACTTTCTTTTTTTTTTTGCTGTTTTGCACCTAGTTGGGAATTAGTCTGTCAATTCCTTTGAGTTGGTGTGATATAAAAATATGAATCTCCAATTCTCCATCCCCATGACAAGGTGCTGTGTGTCCCCATTTCATTCTCTCTCAGTGCCGATGTCCAATGTCCTCCCTTTCCTTCATTCACAAATTTCATCAGCCCTCACTTACCATTCTCATCACCTACACCCCAAAAGTGCCCAGTGAGTCCGTTTCTTTGTATTTAGAGTTACTAACATTATCTATTGACCTACACCCCAAAAGTGCCCAGTGAGTCCATTTCTTTGTATTTAGAGTTACTAAGATTATCTATTCAAATGGTTTCAATGGTTGGTCACAGAATTACTAGAACCCGTAGCTCTCCTAAGAAAGGCAGCTGGGATTATGCATTGCTCCCCATATCAGTGGATTTTTGGTGCCTACAGCAGGAAATTTTGGAACTCATTTTAAATATTATTGTATAGTGGATGGAGATATGCCCTGGGAATTAAAAGGAGGTTGTAAATTCAGATTATAGACATCCATGAAACATAAAAATTAAAAAGTAGTTATTGCATCTTTTGGTATGCAACCAAAATTAAGTTTGATAAGTTTTCTGAGACCTACAAGCCACTCCTTGGCACCTTAGCCACAAGATAGGAGGGATTCCTGCGATGCCTGCATAAGCAACAGTGCCTGGTGCCATCTCAGGTCTCTTAGAGCATCCAGGACTTCCACATAAGCTGTCAGATATCACACAGGAGTTATTGGAGGCTGAAGCCAGGCAGAATACCCTCCCATGCCCTGTCTTTTGTGAGTTCATTGTCTTTGGTTACCCTCAGCATCTAGCATCATTATTTAGGTTCAGGGGCAAGAAAACCGCCAGCTAAATCCCCATCAGTTCTTTCAGTGCTTGCGTTTCTTCCCTGACATTTCACATTCAAATACATTACTGACCCGACACAAAAATTTTCATAGCAGACACGCTGGCAGTATTAGGATTTATGAAGCTCTTCTGCCTATTTTTCTTCCCTTAGGTTGCCCAGAGAAGCTGTGGATGCCCCATCCCTGGAGGGGTTCAAGGCCAGGCTGGATGAGGCTTTGAGCAACCTGGGCTGGTGGGAGGTGTCCCTGCCCATGGCAGGGGGTTGGAAGTCAATGGTCTCTAAGGTCCCTTCCAACCCAAACCATTCTGTGATTCTATGATTCTATGATTCTATGATGATTCTGTGTCTGAGTTGGCAGAGCACTGTTAGACAAGGTATAAGAACAACACCTTTTGTCCAGAAGAAGTGAACGGGGAAAATTTCTAACAAGTATTTTTAGTATTAGATAAACACAGACGGTGAGTCATGTCACAATAACCTAAACTCAGAATTTCCTCTGTCATGTGGCTGTGTGTCACCAGCACTGACATTATTCTGATGTCAAGTTAAAACAGCAAGGTGCAAAAATAGGACAATTTTCCCCTAAATACAAAGGCAGTAAGAAGGGATTGGTAGGAAACTGGCTGTTCTGAAGATGTG